TTGCACTTCACCATATGGAGACTGTGAATGTGTCCTTAGGCGTAGTACTAGTATTAGTTTCTGGATCTAATGGCATAGTTCAGACATTAGAATTGATAGATAGTGGATCAGACAGTTCACTAGACGATTCAAATTTACTGCACGAACTCAAAGTACGAGGGACAGCGGCGCTGAACATTCGTACGATTGCCGGTCAATGTGAGATGAAGTCACAGCTGGCGAACCTAAATGTCTACTCGCTGGATAGAGACGAGACTGTTAGGCTGAAACCATTCAGATCAGTCAGTGGTCTTTCTCAAGCAATTACCGTAGACATCGAAAAGAAAGACTTACGGAAATGGGCTCAGCTAGCTAATTTGAAGCTACCGGAGCGAGAGGGAAAAGTGTGACTTTTGATTGGAATCGAGAACTCCTATCTTCATTTGGCGTTAAAACAGAGGCGAGGTGGTCTTGGTGATCCGTACGCCATCAGAACCCCACTCGGTTGGATTGCGTTGAGTTCAACCAAATTACCAGCATCAGCCGAAGATAATCTTAAATCAGTTCTGCGGGAGTGCCCCGAAAAGACACATTCAGTACTCTTTCCCAGCGTCGAAAATTGTCATTCGGTGGGTCTCAGTTACGAGACCAATATTTTTACGGAAGATTGTCTCCTACTCTTTGACCAAGCTGAAGTTATGATCGCCGCGAATCCCGAGCATACAGTGCCACAGGTACCCCAGAGTCCTCCTACTGATGCCCGGAGCCTCAGTAATACTGTATCAGTTTTGCTGTCGATTCTCCTGTCAATGATTTTATCGTGATTGGTCTGCTTGTTGCGGAGATATGTGTGCCAAGTAAGACTACGCGACTGCAGATAACTGCACATAAAAGATCCTATCACAGTAATTGTTAAAGCACTTTACGTCAGTCTGTCGCGGTAACAGATAGTTTAACTGTCGGTGATGTGGTGTCACTTCGAACAGTCCTTAGTAAAGAAAGCACTTCCTCGAACAAGCAACAATGTGGTACAGGAGTGTACACGTGCATCGAGATGAAGAACAGGGTTTTGGAATGCTCCCGTTTCCCGAAACCTACGACATCAGTGTAACAGATGCTATCGTCCTGGCTATGATTTCAACCTCGGAGACATTCAGGACTGTACTGGCTGCTTAGGTGAGCAACTCAGTTTTCTGCAACACTAGCGAGATAGCTAGAAACAAGTGGTCATATAGAGTTAGGCATTTTAGAGAGATATTTGTAGTGCTAGGTAACATTTTACGCAGTTAAAAATTTCTGTGGCAAGAAGAAATTACCCGAAATTATGTAAAACACAGGGACCAATTTGGGATGATGAATATCGTCGGCAAAAACAGCGAACTACATGCAACAAATATCAATGCTATACTAAAAATCGATAGCGTGAGGGAGGCTGAAGATCAGAGGTTTACAACAGGAGACGATGACCGCCGGCGGAGTGTAAAGTCCAAAAGCACTCTGATTTCCTTTACCAGATCTATTATTCCTTCTTGATGATTCAGTGATCCTATACCCACCACTTTCCACCTTGCGAGCTAACAACATGACTCCTGTGCTTTAGACCATTACATACACAAACCAGTTTCGTTTTACATTTATTTCCATTGCACGCACTTTTCGCAAGGTCACGCTTCCACCTGTCTGCTTTTAACATCACTGTTACTGTTATCAGTTTCCGCAGCCGTTGCAAACCTAGTCATGAATCATATCTTGTATATTATTCCGCCCTCTAGAAGCATGCTTACAGGAGTATATTATAAATTCTTCTGTCGTGACGGTTTTCTGCCCCGTCTAGTCGGTTTATAGCTAGAAATAGTAATATGCAAGACGTGCGACGTAACTCAAATTATGTTGTTCCGTCATTACAATGATGACGAGGATGATGAATACGGAATATTGAGAGGATGCAGCGAGTATAGATACCTCTGTGTATCTACATCTATTATCCTTTAAGCAAATCTACCTTTTAATATGGTGATTATTCTCGAAAGCTCAAGTTAGCCAAGTGCGAGTCCAGGAGTTTTTAAACTTTGGCACCAACTTTACTTCGACTATGTCTACAGGCAAGCTCTTCCAAATATTCACTACCCTCCGCTCGAAGCAGAGTTGGTGAGCAACCCGCTTCAAATCTGGTACGACAAGCTTATACCGGTGTTCTGGGGTGCTGTTTGGTGTGGCAAGATAAATCAGTGGCCTCAACATGGGGTAATCATCCAGATGTAATATCCGGTGCGTCATAATGAGATCAACCCACATTCGACGATAAGACGGTGTACAACCCTAGTCTCTTGTACCGGTCTTCACATGGCACACCTCGCAAACGTGCGATGAGCCTTGTGGCCACATGCTGTACCCGCTCAAAAATTTGCACCTCGTCCCGGGTGAGCTGTACTCTACCATTGATCTGATGATAGAAGAGAAGATGCGGGTGGCAACCTCTTCGGACCAAGTGCAGAAGCTGCTTTTGAGCGTCCAGAGCATGCGCAGTCCATTTTGATAAAGCCTGCTTGTGTTTTCAACAAATTTCAAATCGCAGCGTGAGAGTACGCCGAGATCTTTCACGGATGGCGATGGGTGTAACTGTTGGCCGGCCAGATTGTAGACTCGGTCATTACCACCCTTGCCCAGGCTCAAGAATACCGACTTGACCAGGTTGATCGGAAAGTTGACCGTTGCTGACCACATGGAGAGGCGGTCAAGATCACGCTGAAGTAGGTCGCAGTCGTCGGGCGCCTCAATTACCCCCCATACCTTAAGGTCACCAGCAAACAACGCCCAAGGTGAACCGAGAAGCTCAGGCAAATCGTTGATGTGGATCGGGAACAAAATGGGTCCAAGGACTGTGCCCTGCGGGACGCAACTGGTCGAGGGATACCACTCGGTCAGGTGGTTATCCACCTGCACCCTCCACGTCCGACCAATAAGGAAGTCACTGATCCATTGGTGTAGCGGGCCACCAAAACCGCACATCTTCAGATTCCGAAGGAGGATCTCATGGTTCCCCTTGTCAAACGCTTTACCGAAATCGATGAAGATGACATCAACTGAGTTCCCTTGCAACTATTCGTGCCTCGAGAACAGCAAGTTTGCGATGCATGACCGACCTTTCATGAAACCGTGCTGGGCGGACATAAAGAAGCTTTTCGACTCGAGATGCCGCAGAAGATGATGATGATAATGATGATGATGAAGCCTGAAGATGCATAAACTACGTGTCAATCGAGAAATGACGCAATAAAATCGTACACACTGTAGGTATCAGTTTGCAGCTCACTTCGTCATGGGGTTCTCTGCGACTAGTGTAGATTAAACTAATAAGAACCCGTAGCAAAGTGACACATCGGACAGTTATACTTCTTGTCAGTGACGAAATCTTACGCAGTCGCATCAGGGTAGTGAGCGAAGACGGTAATCAGGTATGAAACAACATGGGACAAGCCGAATAGGTTGACACTACCCAAAACGACGGTCCACACCTTGCAACACGTCAACGCTATCACCTGTATCCGTGTGACAATAGCGACACTTCAAAATGACAACGATATTAAGCATCTGATGACTATATAATATTTCGGAATAGGTTTGGAATCGACTGGAAATTCATGATTTCAGGTTCTAAATACAAATCGGTTGTTGTAATTTTCTGTATTCAAACTTTCTGAAATCTGATATCTTTCTTTGCTGAACAATGGTAGCTACAGCGAAGTAGAAAACGGCATCAGCAGTACGCCGGTATTCAACAGCGACGCTTCGCTGTCGCGCAACCACAAGTCGCGCGGGGGGCAAGAATACTGTGAGGGCCGCCCGGCCCCTCCACAGGTTCGAACCTGTACACTTGGATTACAGAACAGCCTTGTGATCCTTAAAGCTACGGAGAAATAGAATAACGCGTGGATGATACAATTATTACACTGGTGCACACAGATGGCGTAATAAAGGTATTCGGGGTAAAAATGGACGATACGAAAAAGTTGCGTGGCTCAGATGTCCGAATAGGCCAAAACTAAACTAAAACAATGTGGATAGCAAGGCAAAGATATGGGATGATTCATGTTTAATAGCCCCAGTGAGCAACAGTGAGTAGTGCAGTTACTCTACGTAAATAGCACAAACTAGCCGCAGCTGGCTAAACACTAGATCGGGTCGGTTAGGATACTGACAGCTCATCAGTAGACCATCAGGGAGTCAGACTCAGAATATTGATTACCGATGCGCAGAATGATATTTGATGGAATTTTACTGGTCCTTCCCAGTTGCTTATAAGCCAGTAGTCTATCTCCAATTCGGAAAAGCACCAGAAGATCGTTTCGCCCTATTGGAGCTCTACAGTGATGCCTATTCACTAATTCGCTCGATCGAATCCAGGGCCGTTATCAGCTTACGTCAAATATCCAGCAGCTTATGCCACTGAGCCATTGGGGGACGGAGGCAGACCGTCTGAACTTGCAAGCTAACTGGGATATAACGCAACCTATCCTCCACCGCCACGCAAGTTCTTACCACTGCAGACGACAAACTCAGATAAGTCAAAACTATAGTGGATCCATTAAGCTTATACACGTGAATGTCGAAATAATGGTATTAATGAGCAGATACATTTACCAAACAGTAATACAATGACGACGTGCAAAGGGAAGAGAGTATGATGGTAAAGTGGACAAAGAATTGTCATCCGTATTTCGCTCTCATCCACTGAATATTCCATTAAGTAAAATTGTGCAAAAGTTATCCACCGTCGATGAGGAAAATTCGGTTCCAGTAAAAAGTAATTTTCAGCATGACAATAAGAGCCGTACCTAATGAACATTAGATAGAACTAGTTACGAATCTCAAATGATGTCATAAAGTGACACAAACATACGATTTGACAACTTTATCATACGTCAATTTCGTGGCATGCTGGTGTAAGGGTTTCATCTATAATCACAGTGGCTTCAAGCATGTAACAGCGGGTAAAGGAATGTTACTGTGTTTCCAGATACCTCGAAACTATCGAGATCTTCCTTCAGAGAGGAATCTCCCACCATTGGATCGTGGCGAAGTACGCCTCCGCTCGAGGATTCAGTAGACTTCTGTGTTCGATGCGTACGTAGGTCGTAACAGACCTACTGGTCTGAAATGAAAACAAGGATACTTTGTAGGCGGTTGGATAGTTTCATCGCAAACAGTAAGAGACAAAAATGGATGAAGATGAGTCACCACGAGGTGAGCTGGACGCCGCTGCCACAGATCCAATGAAGGACCGAGTCTAAGGTGAAGGTAATAGAATCGTATATATATATATATATATATATATATATATATATATATATATATATATATATATATATATATATACCGCTTTTGTACGGCTTAGTGCAGTAAAACGACATTCGAGCAAACCGAAAATAACTACTAGAATATGAAGGTGAGTTTATGACAAACTTATGTTGATTTCAGGTGTTACGAATCCAAGGCAAATTTGATCGATGCGAATTCCGTGGACTGCTCAAAAGGGCGGTTTCTCAGGTGCCAGAGAAGGCACTATTGTATGCGGAATAGAAGCATCATAAGTATGTTCCCATTCTATTTACTAATCAAGGCCAATAAGGCGGCGTACGTGGTACGTTTGCCTGCGTGATGAGTAATCTTGCATTTAAGAAGTAGACGTTGCTTGAGCTCCCCGGTGTGGATGCGCCTGATGTGAATGTTGACAAGGTGCCTACCTGTCTATTACTTACTACTTCCTCCATACTGGCTCCAGGAGACAGTTGGTCGATGTTAGTGGGGACGGGGTGCACCGTCCGCGTGACGATGCTAGGCTTAAAGAGTAGTTCCATGCACTCAGTGTGGAGCGGACTAAGGTCCAGCCGCCGCCTCGTGTACGTCTGGTGTGTATGATTTCCCAATTAGGCCGGAATGCTCCCGTTCTGCTTGTTGAAGGAGTGTGGGCCGGCTCCGTTTATGAAACGTGGCTCCCATTCACACGCCTCCCGGTCTTATTCCTTCGGGTTTACACCGGATATGGGATGTGTGGGTGGAACTGTGGGTGGTGTAGCGTAAGCCACCCATGGTCCCCTTTGTAGGCGCAGGCGTCCTGTGACAGTCCCCATGGACGTCACAGTGACAGGCAAATCCGGATACGGACGCCGCCGCAGCTGTCTTTAGAACGGACATGAAACCATCGAAAACCATGGAATAAAGACGCGTAATAAGTACGATGCCTATAAAATAAAAAAATATATAAATAAAAAATTTTGGCAGTTGACACGCGCCGTTTTGTCTTTTTTGTCCGTTTAATGATTACGGTTTTCATAAGTAAAATCAATGCATAGACTTATGCAAACCTTCCACTGGACCCGGTTACGTGCCATATTCTTAAGTGTCTTTAACCAGCGATGTGCTTCATTTCTGACTTCCCAGTCTGGAAGACATACGGGACCGACAAGATACAGACTAGAAGCCATTGTCTTGACGTTTTGTCGCCATGTAGTAGATTGACCACCGTACCATTTCTTCCGGTGCGGCACTGTGCGAGCGAATAGAGCGTGCCGTGGTAAACGATCGCAAGCATGCGTAGGACTTGACCTAGCCACCTCAGCTGCTGCAGCGATATTAGCTTATCGAGAGGCACGCATGTTATCTTTTTCCTCTTTGCCTGCAATTCCAGTTGAACTGAACTCGTTGTCTGCTAGCTCCGAATCCCTGCAGGAAAAGCGTGCTGTAGCACAAGTTACCGAAACGGAAGCAGGTACTGTGAAATCGACGAACATTTATAAGTCAACCAAGAAAGGTTCGCGTAACAAAACAGCTAGGTCAGCTGTCCGGATTGCTAGATCAGTTCCGCTAGCCAATGTGAGGGTTGGTACGCACGTTGTATGGACACGAACGTTCCTGTAACGACTTGATTCAACATGTTTTCACAGTGGATGAATGAGTTTTCCTAGGAAATTTTACTCTCCCTGTCATCTTCCCTCTTGAGATCGTGGTTGCGGCGTATGATAACCTTGGGTTGACTTGCAGTCGTGAAAACGGTGTTCTCCGTCTGTCCGTCCATCGCCTGGGTTGAAGTGCCTCTGCGGTTAGCTCTGCATTAGCGGGTGCATCACTGGTTTGACTGTAGCCTGCCTGGTTTCGTTAAGTTGTAACGATCCACAAGGAGGTTGAAAGACAGCTCGGTTGGCCTTCTTGTCTCTGGTCGGCATAGCATTGAATGTAACTGATTTACATGGCAGACCGAAGTTTGCGATCCAACGAGCATATTGCAAATGACGTTTCCACGTTTACATTTGACCTCACCTGGAGTCCATGTTACTTGGCGTTTCTGTTCTTTTCAACGTACAAACACTCAGAAGCTGGTCAAAGTGTATTGGATGGCTTATGAAGCTTCTTGTTTGTCATCGCTTCTGCTGCAGGAAACTTCGTCTGCTGGTTAACACTTCGGCATATAACCGTCAAAATTTGGTTCGGGAGGACATCAAAGAATCCTAACCACTCAGCCCAGTGGATTCCGGAAGGTTTGGATTCGGTTGGTCTGTTAGGTGCAATGGAACGATGCGTTATAACGGGTGAAAAAGCACAGGCTAATATGTTCCGTAGGTTGGTAATAGAAGAAAGTGAAATTCAACTAAAACAAGTGGACCAAATAAAATACGCATGGGCAAAGCGATAGAGTAATTGCGTTAAAGAGGATGGTTATGGAACTGAGATGGTACAGGCAAATCAAAGGTTGTTAATGCTCATAGCAAGTAACAAGCTCGCCTCTCTGCACAAATTTATGTGCGTCACTGTGGGTCATAATTCCAAAGTGGCCAGTTAGCCAGATTAAATCCAGAATATCCGTTCACTTAACAAAAAGTGAGGAGCAAAAATCGATATCCAGTCGTTTTTGAAAACCGCTCAGGGTACTGGAGTTTCGAACACTGCAAGGCTACGCTTTGACCAAGGATGTCAAGCCTGGATTGCATATTCCAGGTTGGAACGCACGTAGATATCAGAGAGAAGATAGATGAATACAAACACACGAATGCCCTCCGCAAAAGACCAACATGCTGGTTACCCCTTTTTGAAGCGGATTCTGACTGCCTGGAACAAAGGAGGTCGTCCTGTGTCAGCACACAGAAGTCACGTTCCTGAGACCTTGTCTGCAGATCATGCGACTCAAGTTTGTATATATAGGCGTCTGTGGCGGATGTGAACAAAGCGGCACTTGTCCACATTGAATAGCAGCAGCGCATTACTCACCGACCAATGTCAGGCCTCGTGGAGGTCACGCTACAGGATCTCGTGGTCTTCCATTCCCTTGATCGCCCGTTACCGCCATCCATGAAAATTAAAAATTTTGAGGCGATAGCTCTCGCTAGATTGTTGATATAAAAAAACTAGGAACAAACGAGGTCCAAGTACCGAACCCTGCGGTACGCCGCACTCCACTCGAACCGGGTCAGACAGAGATGTTCGGACTCTAAACTCCAATTGCCATTCGCGGAGAAAGTTACCAATCCATCCTAACACTGGATCTCCGATGCCGTATAGTTGCAGGATGATTCGATGATCCAAGCTATCGAACGTTTTCGAAAAGTAAATGTACCTGGCAGCGGTGTCTGCCCTATCGTCCACTGTTTTGGTCCAGCTGTCAAGTGCTACCAATAGATTCGTGGAACATGATCGGTGTTGAAGAAACGCGTGCTGCTCCGGCGCAATGATGTCGCAGCTTACCAGGTAGCCCATCCGTACGGATGGGAGACCTGGCCCATTGGTGAAGGTGACATGTGCAGACTATCCGGCTTCAAGCACCGCTGTCTGAGGTGCATTGTCCGTGTGTGGAGGCGGCACCACGTAAGCAATGTGGAAGTTAGACAGCGTATATATATATATATATATATATATATATATATATATATATATATATCAGTACGTCCGCCATGATCGCTTTAACGACTTTGGCAAAAAGAGAGAGAAGTGTTACCGGACAGTAACTGGCAGCATCAGACCGACTTCTTCTTTTGTGAATGGGGGTTATAATACCTCAGTTCCATGTTGTTGGAACTATGTGTTCGTTTAGAGAACGCTGAAAGAATTCAGCAAGTGGTTGGGCTAGGTGCATGGCTGCTGCCTGCAGTGCTTTAGGGTGAATGTTATCCACTCTAGGAGAGCTGTGTGTGTACAAGGATAGTAGCATTTTAGTACCCTTTCTGTTGTGTACGTAATGTTTGGTAACACTGACGGTGTGATGACAGAAGCAAGTATAGTGTTCGAGGCTGGTATCCCTTGGAAAGTAGGTAAGTACTGGTCCCTTAAGGCGTTGACCGCCACTTCTGTTGTGTGTGTATACCCACCAATCGTAGTGAATGGGGAGATTCCGTGCTGCATCTTTCGAAGTCCATTCACGTGTCCGTAAAGAAGCTTGTGGTTCGTACGTAATAGTCCCGTTAGCCCCTTTTGATGCGATAACTTGTGTACACGAACCAACTGTACAGAATAATTGCGCTGAGCTACGTACGCTGCCCAAATTTCGGAGTCGAGTGTGCCATACATTAGCTGTTGTAAATAGGCCTTGCACCGTTCTCCCTCAGTTGCTGGAGTATCCAGAACATGAATGTTGAAATCTTCACTAATGTGTATATGGGTGTAGTTCTGATGTATCACAATGTGAAATGTAGATATTAGTCTGTGGTCCATCTCTGGAGTGGATTTGGGTGGTCGGTAAACTACGGACGCGAGGCATGTAACCTCATCCTTCAACCACAGTTTGTACGAAAAGTGACCAGTGACACGTTTGAGGATCATCTATGTGATCACAACGAAGGTTCTTTTTGTAATAAATGATCAATCCCCCTCTTCTACCCGTTCCGTCGTTCCGGAAAAGTGACACCGGGTGGAGCGATCTCATCATCAGCAATTTCATAGTCCAAAAACATTTCGGTGATCTTTGATATCTTGAGACTCACAATCGGAAATAATGTACCATCAGAAGCATGGCGAAATAAACGAGGAAAACGAAATACAACATGAAGAAAGCAACTCTTTTCGGTCTCACACGCCGTTTTAGGATATTTTGTGTCCGGGATTTTATGTTCGATGAGACGTTAACTAGTATATAACACGTTGGAACAGCACCGTCTCCACCGATGTCAGTTGCACGCCATAGCGTCCAACGTTTCTAACCACTGGCAGTTCGAATCGCGTGGTCCCCATTCTAAAAGCCGACCCGTCCGACGGCTGCTCAGCTTGAGGTTGCATTCATCATGCTCCTTCCACACGTCATAGGTTGTCCAAAGCGGCACTTTTTCCAATTGCTTCCGGGGAGCGCAAATAACGCTCGACGGAGAAGGCGATAGGCCGGCATGCGCAATACGTCGCCGAGCCAACGCAAGAGGTGCCCGCGAATAACCGTTTGGAGGCACGAGCAGTTTGCTCCAAACAATCGCTCTAGGACTTCTGCGTAACCCACGTGATATTGCCGCCACACGCGAGCAATCATACGCAAACAACGATTGTCAAAAACACAATTGTTGTGTCTTTCGAGAGTCGGCCAGGTCTCACAACCATACAAGAGGACCGCACGGACAGAGGCAATGTATACACTGCGCTTGAGTACGAGACTGACGTTGCGACGGCACCATAAGTGTCTCAGTCTGAGGAATGTAAGGCGGGTCTTTGCGATCCGTTGTAAGACCTCATCTCCAATACAGCCGCCAGTTGTGATGCAACTGACTAGATAAGTGAAGCAGTGAACTTGTTCCAGCAATGGTGATGGCAGGCACAGGCATTTTCCAATTCTGAAGTAGTACTTTACATTTGCCTGGCGTGAAACACAGGCCATACTTAGATGCCTCCATCGCTAAGCGGTTCAGAGCGCTCTGGACGGCTTGTGTATCGTCCCAGAGCAAAGTGATATCATCGGTGTAGTCCAAGTCCACGACTCTGTTACCTGGGAGAAGCTCAATACCTCAGTTTTGTGGGTCTTCCAATGCTCGTTGGACGATATCTTCAATGGTAAAGTTGAAGAGGATAGGTGAGATGGGGCAACCTTGGTGCACGCCGATGGTGACAGCAAACAAAGTGGAAAGCGTGCAGTAAGCTCTGACTTCGCCTGACGTGTGACTGTAGAGAACCTACAAGATGGTTACAAACTTGTTGAGCACACCTTTCCTTAGTAGACAGTTCCACAACGCAGATCTATCTACTAAGTCAAAAGCCGCTCGGATATCCAAGAACACTATTGTTGGCTGTCGGTGGCCGTGACGAAGTTCAAGAAGTTGGCGGAGTGTGAAGATGTGATCAATGCAACCTCGACCTGGACGGAAATTCGCTTGTTCCTCTCGGTAAAGGTCTTCTCTAGTCGCTGAGAGCCTGTGGAGTAGAACAGACACGAAAATCTTGGAGGCAACAGAGATCAATAAAATTATGCGGTAATTGGGGCGATCCTCGCGGGAGCCTTTCTTGTGAATCGGGACAATGACCGATTCTCCCCATGCAATCGGGACTTTCGCGTCAGTCCAAATTCTCGTGCAGTGATAGCATTTTGTTGACAAGTGAATTCCCGCCATCTATGAATAGAGCCGGGGGTAGACTGTCAGGACCGGGAGCTTTATGACACTTCAAGGATTGGACTGCGCTTCGGATCTCTGTTTCGGTAGGAGCATGTGGCGATAGGCCAAACATTATAAGAGGGAAACGAAGGTGTCAGAGTGGGTTATGCTGAACAGTTAAATTCGAAAACAAAATGCTCTGCCCAGCGGCCCTTGCGCCTGTGCAGGCTGGTGATTTTCGTGCAGTCTGACTCACAAAGTGTCTGACTGACAGCGTGTGAATGGCAACCAGTGGTCTTGATGAGGTAAAACAAACTGCGGAAGTTTCCAACCGATGCAGCGGCCTCCATCTCAGTAGCTCGTTTTGACCACCAGGATTCACGGTCAGAACAAAGGCTTGACGTCAGCTTTTGAGAGATAGACCAACGAAGTTCAATGTGCACCGTACCGGCGGGCACAGCCCGTCGACGATCTAGCAGTTGCGAGAATCTTACCGAAATCCAGCTTCTGGTTGTGCAACGGGTGAGTCCGCAGCTGGACAAGCCGGCGAACAGCATTGCTTTTTACAAATTTGACCAGTGTTGATCAACATCCGGAATATGGGGCAGAGCGAGATTTTCGCGAAGCCCCTGTTGATACTGCGGTTTCACCGTTGGGTTCTCCAACTTGTGAGTGTTGAGTCGGGTTTGCTTGACACTGGGTGGACCGCAGAAACGCATTCAAATTATCGTACACACCAACGCATGATCGGTGTCAACATAAGTTGACTAAAATGATCGGCAATCGCGTGAGCTACCGCGTCACCTGCGACTTATGACCATGTGATCAATTTGTGACCAGCTCTGGAGGAGGCTAGTTGGCATAGGGGCGTCCAGAGTGACGAAAACTCGTACTGAAGAGGAAAAGTTGGTGTTCAGCACAAAGACGGAGCAGTCTCTCTCCGTTGTCAGAGCAAACATTATCATACCCGTGCAGTCCACCGAGGTGGCGTTCACATGGCAGCAGCCGACCAATAGGGGCATTTAAGTCTCCCGTCATAACAATGATGTCTGTTTTGGGCGCCCTTAGGAGCAGTTCATGAAGATGCTGACAGAACTGGTCCTTGACAGCATCCAAGCTGAAGTCAGTGGGTGCGTGGGCAGAGATCACTAAAAGAGTACGTTTGTCCGCGCGATGCCTGCTAACCTTACAACAGCCACGGAGCCTCACAGCGTATAGGCGACTGTTGACTGGAATCCAGTCAAGGATGGCAGCCTCGGCTCTAGTACCGAGAGCGATTCCAACACCAGTTTGCTCAGATGCGGCGGACTCAGCGTAACCAGAAAGGCGAAGATAAAAGCGGGTGCGTCGTTGGACTAGTAACAACGGCTGGTAGACTATGTTGGAACCCTGCAGTCGAGTTTCACCCAGGCAGTAGACATCAATTTCAAGTCTCCAGCGTGCGTGCAAGTTCAGCTTGCTGTCTGATCTGCAGCAATGTGCGCACGTTGAGGGTTGCCAGTTGGAACTGCATTCCAGATTGCAGTAGCGAAGATGGCAGACTTCGGAGCTGATAGCTCCCTGTCGAGGACTATGTGGTTGAGTTGATGGGTGGCGAGAGAACAACTGTATCGGCGGATGTAGAGTTGTTCGTGTTGCGACCCGGTGTTAAAAGAATAGGCACATTTCCGGAATCTATGTATTTGACTAAGTTGAGCTACAGGCCTGAAGTTGGACAACCGTACTGCGTCAGCCCATGATGCCAAATGCCAACGGTGCTCTGGCTATGACGGAATGTTCAATACAGTGGTCGATAGCGGATGATCGATGATTATGGTGGTTGGGTTACTTAGGATTGTCCACAGTCTACAGTTGAAAAATCAAGAAACAATGGGGATAAGTGATACAAGGAAAGAGTATGTACATTGGTGACGTGTGTTCATAAAGTTAGTGAAGTCTTAAGACAGTGGATCATGAGAGCAAGGGAGGTCGTAGTTGTGGGTATCCATGGTTCGTTAGTAGCCGAAATACTACCCGGCTGCCTAGGACGAAAGAGATGGATTGTCTTAGGAGACCACAGCCCCGAACCTTTGGCGGAAATAAAATAATAATAAAATATTAATAGTAATATTAATGTGTCAGCTGCACACCGTAACGGCGCTTCGCTGCCGCGCAACCACCACCAATTTTCGAGTGATCAAGAAGGGTACACGAACCCGTATCAGTCGGTTGATCAACCTCAAGGCACGTCCCGCGGTGCCTTCAAGGACCTCCGTGTTGCATTCACAAACATCTGTAGCCTTATGAACAAACGGGATGAGCTGTGTCTCTTCGTTGCCTCTGAGCGACCAGACGTCGTAGGACTGGCGGAGACATGGCTAACTTCTGAGGTAATGGCAGAGGAAGTCGATCTCAGTGGCTACTCATGCTTTCGCTGCGATAGAATATCAAATCCCCGTGGTGGTGTCTTACTTTATATACGGTCTTCCCTGCGTGGGAGGCTTGTAAGCGTGTACCGAAGTGAAGATGGACTGTGTGAACAGGTATGGTGCTCGATCAACCTCAGGCTCGGCAAGCTGACAGTAGGTGCATTCTACCGTAGCCCTCTGAACCGCTCTTTAGATTGGCTGCCGCATCTTCGGAACAACATGAGTCGTCCATGTTTTCTACTCATGGGTGACTTCAATTGTCCCCACATTCAATGGCCTGAAATCCAACTCATGCCCGGGTATTCTGAAGTCGAATCAAAGTTTGTTGATTTGTTGCTTGAAACTGGGGCATCGCAACACATATACCAACCTACGCGCATGACGGCGCGTTCGAACCCATCGTGCCTTGATTTGATGGTGACAAGTTGCGAACAGCGGTTGCATGACATACGAATCCAGGAGCCCCTAGCTAAAAGCGACCATTCCGTGCTGATAGCCACTATGGAACTGAACTTGCCTAGTGTATCTCCGGTGGAACCAGCTTACAACTACTGGAAAACTGATTTCGATGGATTAAATCGAGCAGCGAGCCAAATGGATTGGTCTCTACCGCATGTTACATCTGTGGAGGACGGTTGGACAGTAATAAAGGAAGGATTGGCTTTGCTTTGTGCTCAGTTTGTGCCGTTGAAATTTCAGAAAGTCGGACCAATCAAACCACAATGGTTCGACAAGGAATATGGTAGACTGGCTCGGTTACGGCGAAGAATGTGGGACGCATTTCGCCTCTCTGGCTCCGCCACTGATTACGAAGCATATAAAAGACAGCGAAATATTTGCAACAAAGTGAAATTGATAAAGCGCCGGAAGTTCGAAGAAAAGCTTGCAACTGACGCGAGGATGGCCCCAAAAAAGATCTTTGCTTACGTGAAACGCCGTTTGAAGCCAAAAGGTGACGTGTCATGTCTGGAAGACGCGGACGGACACCTGCTAACTTCCAGTTCCGATCGCGCGTCCGCACTGGCCGCTCACTTCGCTTCCGTGTTTGCAAACGACGCGGCCTCCATACCCATCTCAGCGAGTAACATTCCTGTAGAACTCAACAGTTTGGTTTGTGATGTCGACGAGGTGCGCCTGCTACTTGCGAACCTTGACGGTACCAAGCCTGCAGGGCCTGACGGGCTTCATCCGCTAATTATCAAATCACTAGCTGCCATTATCTCGCCTGTGGTTACGGATCTATTCAACAAATCATTGTCTGAGGGCTCATTGCCAAACGACTGGAAGCGTTCGGTGGTGAGGCCGATCCCGAAAGGTGGCGACCCCAGTAAGGTGGATAACTACAGGCCAATTTGTCTTACACCCGTTTTGGCCAAAGTGATCGAGAAGATAGTAAAAAAGCGTCTAATACATCTGTTACAATCGAAAGAACTTCTGACACCGGCACAACACGGATTCAGGATGGGATATTCTTGTGTTACAAACTTACTTGTGACGAGACAGGAATGGTTGCAAGCACTGAACCGGGGGAAGTCCGTTGACGTAATCTACATCGACTTCAGCAAAGCATTCGACAAAGTCAATCATGAAGTGCTTCTAGACAGATTAAGGTCGTGTGGTGTCGGAGGATCGTTACATCGATGGATCCATGAATTTCTCGTTGGAAGAAAGTGGAGGGTACAGGTGGACGGCCATCTAACCGATTGGTATCCCTCGACCAGTGGTGTACCTCAAGGTACGGTACTGGGACCCACTCTGTTTCTCATCCACATCAACGAGCTGCCCCAGCTTCTACGGTCGCCTTGTGCACTGTTTGCGGATGACCTCAAAATTTGGCGAGAAATTAATACTCTCGATGACTGTGACATTCTCCAACAAGACCTCGACCGCCTCGCAGTATGGTCTGCTGAAGTCCACCTACCGGTCAACCCGGTCAAGTCCCTATTCATGAGTCTCGGGAAGGCTGTTCACGATCGAACGTACACCCTAGACGGCCAACCACTGCATCCCACACCTTCCGTGAAAGACCTAGGTGTACTCTCACGCTGCGACTTGAAGTCCGTCGACAACACCAACAAACTGTATCGAAACGGACTGCGCATGCTCTGGGCGTTGAAACGCAGCTTCTGCACTTGGTCTGAGGACGTCGCCACTCGCCTCTTCTCTTCCATCGTCAGACCAATGGTAGAGTACGGCTCGCCTGCATATTGTCCGATCACTCGCGGCGAAGCGCAAAAGATCGAACGAGTACAACACATCGCCACCAAGTTGATCCCCAGTTTGAGAGGCTTGTCGTATGAAAACCGGTGCATGAAACTTGGGCTCTACACCTTGTCATATCGCCGTGTTAGAGTGGATCTTATCATGACCTACCGTATTTTACATCTCGGTCATTTCCCCATGCTAAGGTCGTTACTCCACTTGCGAGTACCATGCACCACACGTGGGCACAGGTACAAACTCGTGGTACCTGATCTGAAGAAAATCCCACACCCCCTGTGTTTCGAGCGGAGGGTTGTACACGCCTGGAACAGTCTGCCAGAACACGTCGTCGAGGCCGAATCTGTGCAGAAATTCAAATCTTTGTTGGATGTACACTTCGCTAACATACGTTTCAGAGAACGGTTGCCACTTGACAACGATATCACCCACTTGTGACTCACTGTGTAAACAAGCATTTTGTGTGCTACAGGAGTTGCTGAACCATCTCATGATAACCACCGGACGTGTTTATTTATTTTTTTAAAAATGTTTTTTTTGATTATCACCCGATGGAGTTGTACAGAATTATTTTCTACTTGCTCCAAAATACAGTATTCAGTATTCAGTAATCGCGCGCGGGTTGAGTATACCGCGAGGACACCCACCCCTACGCGGATTCGAACCGGTAACCTTATGGCTGCAAACCAAACGTGCAGACCACTCGGACATCGGCCGACCTTTGGCGGAAAAGCCTAATCCACAAGGCAGCAGGGCGAAATAAGGGTTTTGCACCCGATGGGAGTCGGTGACTGAAGATGCAGTTCATACGCCTTTCGGATGACGAAAGCCATACCAGGGGCCCAACACTCCCGAAGTCAAAGGCAGAATCCAATGCTCGGATTGCTTGCCGGTATACAATGTCTCCGAGAAGACAAGGGGCAGTGACTTTATTTAGTGGCGAGTCACATCCGTCACGTCAGTGTTATTAAACGGACATATGTGGCTTTTTATAGGGAGAACGCTTGCCAGACGTAAACCCACCACGTCCTGGAACACTGCCGCCGAACTATTCGCCGGAACGAGGAATACACGAACCGCCCAGCCTGTAGAGCCCCAAAAGATAACCATTATCTTTTGTGTACAAGTTCACTGATGACCAATTGTACATTATCCTTGTTTTAATCTCCCTTACGTCCATGTTTTAACCAGGTACCAAGCCTCACTGTCAACTTTGCTTGGCTCAACTATTGACGGTGATCTCGATTCGCAGTGGGCGCATATCAAAGATGCGTTAGTTTCCGCCAGTATCGACACCTGTGGAGTTACCCGTCACCCACCGAAACATTGGATTTCCGCCGACTCCTTGTCGCTGATGGACAAACGCCGCTTGATCCCATCGGATTCGAGACACCTTGAAGAACGCCAATACCTTGGTCGAGAGTTGCGCAGGAGTCTGCAAATGGACCGCGAAGCTTGGTGGTGTGAACGTGCTAGGGAGATGGAGCTTGCTAGTCTCTGTGGTAATACCAGGAAACTCTTCCATCTCCTTCGAGTCACCGAAGGTGTTCGATCTGGTATAAGTGAAACAATATGCGAAGAGGATGGCACCTTAATCACCAATCTTCAACGACGGTTGGAGCGATGGGCTGAACATTTTGGCTCGCAGTTTTGTTGGCCCCCAGCTCCATCTGCTACCTCTGGCGCTCGCGCTGGGGCCGAGTGGTCTACCCCAACAGACCCTCCCTCTTCCCAGGAAATCGAGCAGGAGCTCCGGCACCTGAAGCGTTATAAAGCTCCCGGCCCTGATGGTCTTCACCCAGCTCTATTTAAAGATGGTGGAGCATCGCTGGTCCGAGAACTCACCGTTTTGTTCTCGAAAATTTGGTCGAAAGAGAAGGTTCCATCATCTTGGGGTGAATCGATAGTCGTACCCATCTTCAAAAAGGGCCTGCGCACAATCTGCTCCAACTACAGAGGAATAAGTTTAGTCCCCGTCGTTTGCAAGCTGCTGGTGTCCATCATACTTCGCAGGCTATCCCCAACACGCGAATCGTTGCAGCGAGAAGAACAAGCTGGGTTTCGCCCTGGTCGCGGCTGCATCGATCAAATCTTCACACTTCGCCAGATCCTCGAGCTCCGCCATGTGTATCAGAGGCCAACGATTGCTGTGTTCCTGGATATCCGTGCTGCCTTCGATTCTGTCGATCGTACAGTACTGTGGCAGTGCCTTCTGAGGAACGGTGTCCCCGAGAAGTTCGTCTCCATACTGCGCGCTCTGTACAGTCTGACCTCGGGCAGGGTTAGGGCTTATGGCATGCTTTCGCCTACCTTTGTGGTCTCCAGTGGAGTTCGACAAGGATGCCCTATCTCTCCGTTCCTATTCAACTTTGCCATTGAGGATGTCCTGAAGAACGCTCTGAGCGATTCGTTGAACGCTGGTGTTGAGCTCCTCCCAGGTAGTCGAGTTGTTGATTTGGATTATGCTGATGATATCGTCTTGCTAGGTGACGATCCACAAGTCGTCCAACTTGCATTAAACCGCTTGACGATTGAAGCATCAAAGTATGGTATGTGCTTTTCGCCATCCAAATGCAAGGCTCTCCTTCAAGACTGGCAGGTGCCTCTGCCTGCACTCACGCTTGCTGGTGAGACACTGGAGGTTGTGGAGAGCTTTGTCTACTTGGGAAGTTGCATCACTGCTGGCGGGGCTGTTGGAGACGAGATTTCGATGCGCATCTCGAAAGCACGCCTCGCTTTTTCTAGGCTGAGGCATTTGTGGCGTCGCCACGACATTCGTCTCTCCATCAAAGGGCGGGTCTATTGTGCAACTGTTCGTGCTGTACTGTTGTACGGATGCGAGACCTGGCCCATTCGTAAAGATGACTTGCGCAGGCTATCCGTCTTCGAGCACCGCTGTCTGCGGTCCATTGCCCGTGTGTGGTGGCAGCACCACGTAAGCAATGTGGAAGTTAGACAGCGTGTCTTGGGACGTGGAAGCCACTCGCTCGAGGAGCTCATCTCACTGCATCAACTGCGGTGGTTGGGACACGTATTGCGCATGCCTGTCCAGCGTTACCCCCGTCGTACGTTGTTTGCACTTGCTGGACAGGGCTGGAAGAGACGGTCTGGTGGACAGCCTACAACATGGAGAAGCCGCATGAAAAAGTTGACGAAACAATTGGCCTCGGCCGGTTGTTGTCGACTACCTGGTTGGGGTCCGAGAGACGAGGATACTTGCTGGTTGAAAACCTTGGAAGTTATGGCTCAAGATCGATGTCAATGGCGGACGTGTGCATCAGTGTGTTGCGGTGTCCCTTCCTCCTCCCCCTAAAAACGAACAAACTGAAAAAAAAATTTCAAAAACTGTGAGTGGTAAACTTGACAAAAAAAAGCATTTCTTGTTGCTCTTTTCTTACTATTCATATTGTTTTCCTATTCAGCCATGATTCCGATGGCACAATATCTGTACCACAGATTGTGTATAATATATATATATATATGTTGACCTACATCCGGCTCGACACGACCGCCTTGTAAGTTCCCGCGCTAACGTGTTCCTCCTGTCTTGCTTCACCCGTTTGCGTCTTCTTATAGCCCATCGAATACAGTCCGCTGTGTTCGACTCCAATTGTCTTCTGATATCCGCGCTTACTTTCGCGCACCGTCTCGGAATAGTACTAGTCCTACAAGCTGGTCCCACGAGGCTGTTGGGCAGTCTCGGATGCCTGACGGTGACGGAGTTGGACCAACTTAATAATAAGGCCTTGTACGTTAGTATACAAACGGGTCAGTTTCTCAGTAAACAAAAGTGAATCACTGGACGCTAGATTAAGATTGGAGATTGTGCCGACCGTTGAGGAGTCAGCCACTAGCCGTTTCTCTGCAGAGTCGTTGGCCGTTTAATTTCAGTCGGATTATATGATTGCTCCCAGTTATCCAGGCCCTGATGGGTGCTCGTGTTTAGCCATATTCCATCGGATGCTAAGCTTGCCATTAAATCAATCCCTTCACAGAGTTGTATGAAGGGGTTCACCAGTTTGGTCGTTGCTAATGAGACATTAGCAACCCGTGATTGCGTCCCTGCTGCCATTAACCGAATTGCTGTAGGCATCTTGCTGCGGAATTTAGACTAATTATCCAATATAGGTGTTGCCATTAGCTCAGCCTGAGGTATCACCTTGATCAGAAGGGGAGTTCCCCTTGGAGTTGGGTGATACTGGAATTCTTGTCAACCGCTTCGCAACGACTGTCGAGGAAGAGTTCCTGGCGGATGTAACTCCATTGTTTCCGGTCGTGTGTCGCCGCTTCCTCAGGTGAGGATGGTTGTATATCAGGAAGCCAACAAACAATACTCGTCCGTTTTCCATCAGATTCACAAACCTTCCCGCTTGCTATTCTCGTTAGGATGTTCGTTCCAAAGGATATCCGGATTCAAAAAGCAATGCGTCCATCACTGCTAATGCAGCTACCAAGGTAAGGGAATCGAGCAACTACCTCGTGTTCCACGTTATCAAGGGTCAACGGGTCATCAAATGGCCGGTAGTCCTGCAGCAACACTTTGCGCTTGGAACGTGCGAAGCGTAGAACAAATAATGGAACCACTATAGTGAAGCTAGTCAGGGTTAATTGTGCCATCTCCACATCGTTAGACAGAAAGACAACATTGTCCACCCAACCAAGATCAATTAACCTTTCACCAGGTAGCACCTCAGCGCCTGCATCGTGCGATTCCTCAAGTGAACACTACATGATGGAGCCCACGACGAAATTGGACAAAAATAAGGAAATCGGACAACCCTGACGAACGCCACTTGTTGTCCGAAAGGCATCCGACAGGTCACTGTAGACCCTGACGGGGCCTGTAGTGTTCGAGTATAGAGCACGCAAAAATGTTCATATGTCGTGGAAACACTATTCCGCTCAAATATTTTGAACAAAATGAACCGATCGACTGTGGAGAAACAAAGCTACTGTTGGTTTGCGGTGTCTGGCGCCGCTCTAGAACCTGTCGCAGAGTGAATATATATTTCATACAGCCCCGTCATGGGGATAAACCTGTCTACTCTTTCCTAATCTGAGATTCCAATTCCGCAGTGACGTGACGAACGAGAATTGAGGCCAGTAATTTTGTCACAACGGGCTTTAGGCTAATACCTCTGTGGTTAGCACAGTCGGTGCGACTGCCATTCTTGTATATTTCCACTATAACCGATTCCGGGACGCTTTCTTCCTTCCAGACGTGCTCGAACAGGGAGGCCAGTGCTTTGCAGAGGACCTCACCTCCATCCTAAGTAGTGCAAGTGGGAAGGAATCCGAGTCAGCAGCGCGAAAATGATTGAGGGCTGTGATCGCGTTTCGGACCTCATCCTCCGATGCAGGCTTTAAACTAACCGTTCATGGCTCAGCTTGCATCGCCTGAGCAAGAAGACGTCCGGAAGCAAGGGATTATCTGAACCGATCTTAAAAGGGTTCTGCCCAGCAAGCCATACGCCGCTCCTTATTGTGTATCAGTGCCTCGTTATGTCTGATTGTCTCATTGACCCCTGGTTACCTGGCACCAGTGGTGCGGACCAGCTGCAAGAGCCTGCGACGTCGCAACGAACTGGACTGGACCTTAA